TCCAATCAGGTGCCGGGTTTTCTATCACCCGAATAATAGGAATCATGAAAATTTTTCCTATGGAAACACGAAGAATGTGCTCCAACCACCACCGGGGTTCAAGGTGGTGAATGGCGAGATTATCGAAGAGAAGAAGACAGACATGGAGAATATTTTGGCTACCTTCATGAATGAGACGAGAAATCGTTTCAACAAGGATGAGAAGAAATTGGACAAGATCGAGAATCATGTGACTCAACTGGCTACGACAATGGGGGCTCAAATGAAGAATTTGAAGACGCAAATTGGCCAACTGGAGTTGAATCCTAGCAATACGGAGTTGAATCCTAAGGAGCAATGTCAAGCCATTCGTCTAAGGAGTGGAATGGAGTACGAAGGCCCGAAGTTGCCGGAGGAGAATGAGAGTGAGCCGAAGGGGAAAGAGAGCTTGGAGCTAAGCGAAAAGGAAGAGGATGTTCGTGATGAATTGGAGAAAGAACCGAATGTCATGTCGAAAAAAGGGGCTGAGAAGCTTAAATCTACTTCTAACTCTAATTCTCATAAACATCCTGTTAATTTACCTGTTCCCCAAAGATTTCAGAAGAAGAATTTGGATGCTCAATTTGCTAAATTTTTGGATATATTCAAGAAAATTCATATAAATATTCCTTTTGCAGAGGCCTTGGAACAAATGCCAAATTATGCGAAATTCTTGAAGGATGTGATGTCCAAGAAGAGGCGAGTTGAGGATCATGAGATGGTGAACTTAACCGAGAAGTGTAGTGCGATCCTCCAACGCAAGATACCTCAAAAGCTTAAGGACCCCGGAAGCTTTACTGTGCCTTGCACAATCGAGAACATTTTCTTTAGTAAAGCTTTATGTGATCTTGGTGCAAGTATATCTTATGCCTCTGTCGATTTTCAGGAAGCTAGGATTGGGAGAAATGAAGCCATCTACAGTAACCTTGCAACTAGCGGATCGTTAGATAACATATCCCAAGGGGATTGTTGAGGATGTTCTTGTCAAGATTGATAAATTTATATTTCCAGTGGATTTCGTTGTGTTGGACATGGAGGAAGATAACGAGGTGCCATTGATTCTGGGAAGACCGTTTCTAGCAACAGGAGATGCCTTGATTGACGTCAAAAGGGAGAACTTACTTTGCGTGTTAATGATGAACATGTGTTATTTTCTATATATAAGCTATGAAATTTCATGATAATAATGCGCATTGTAATTTTCTTGATACTATAGATTCATGCATCTTGTCCCATCTTGATCATACATTGTCTAGAGATTCTTTGGAATATGGATTGATTAAGTCTTGTTCTCCTAATGATTCGATACCTGAATTGAATGACTCTAACTTATACGAATATGTGTTTTCTTTGGATTCTACGCAGGAGGAAAGCATGCCGAAAGAGATTTTGAGTTTGGGGATCGAAAAGGAGAAGAAAAGATGCAAAAGTAGGCTCTGCAGGGGTGACACGGGCTGTGAAACGACCAAACAGCCCGTGTCAGGTGGTCGTGCTAGAAACCTGGAAGTTGAAAAATCCGCCCAGACCCGACACGACCTGCGACACGGGCCGTGTCAGGTGGCCGTGTCACATCTTCAAACACGGGCTTTTGAGGAGCAGTCGCGACACGGTCGTGACACTGTCGTGTCGACCGTGTCGGTGGTCGTGTCAGGTGTTTCCACCCTTATTTCGCCCGATTCCAGTCCCTCAAAGTCCGACGTACCGACTATGGAGCTTAAACCTTTGCCGGAGCACCTCACATATGCATATTTGGGTGATAATTGTTGGTGTTATATACTTAAGCTTTGCTTTAGTGGATATTACACTTGTTATTCC